GATTCACATTCCTCAATTCTTACCTGAAAAAGTCGTGTGAAGATATCAAATTCAAATACTGAAATGTAGTCATTGCACGTCAAGTCAATTGTTGATTTCAGGGCCATGGCTTCCAGCCCTGAACTGATGGGATGCACTTCATGCAAGGCCTGACGGAAGCTTTTCCAAGGAACAATAGTCCTGGGGAAAACCAAGCCATCTGTAAATGTCAGATGTCTGCAGACCACCACCAAGTATACACCTTCTACATTTATTTTTTTGTGAGTATGCACTTCATGATAATGGAAGAGAGGAAAATCAGAATTAGCCACAAGAGATTTATTCGTGTCACACAAGCAGAAGATTTCTTGGTACTGCAGAAAATGAGCAGCTAAATGAACTTCAGACAATTTTCTCTGCATATGCAAAATTTTGTAATCTGAAGTCCAGCTCTGCTGTCTCCTTTCCCTCTTTCTACAGTCCTACCACATCAACACTTTTATGTACCCTGGGCTGTATAAAACCAACACTTGATAAGAATTTCATAATGCTGCAGCTGGTAGAGAAGGAGTTAACAATAAGTCTTTTACTACAGGTCTAGACAGTTAAAAAAAAAAAATCAAAAAGCTGCAACAATTCTCTAAAGACAGATTAACTGGAGAAGTAAGATAATCAGAAGCCAAAACAGAGGCTCCTGTTTAAAGGAATATTTTCCTCCTTTTAGAATAGCAAGTGGAATAGAAACACAGAAAGAACACACCTAGCTTCAGACAACTGTGTTATTCATGAGTAAATATATTATTGCTTTTTTGTTCCAACAGCTACTAATTAACTCTTTATGTGAAGTACCTTAGTTACCTTAAGTTAGAAAAAAGGTATCCAATTCCATGAACTTTAATCCTCAAAAACTGCTGTGGACACCTCTACAGTTAATTTAGTCAGTGTTTTATTAGATACAAAAATTAAAACTGACATTTCAACAGTTTGCATGTAAATATACATTGCACTTCACTTTCTCCTTTGTTTTATCTTAACAAAGCTATTATGCAAACTGACAAGTTCAGAGAAGAAAGGTGACTAAGTGATTGGAAAGACTAATTGGAAGGAAGATGAAACAAATGTATTATAATAGTTTAGCTAAAGGACAACTAATACTGAGGGCATGGTAACCTGTGGAAGAAGAAAGCAAATTATTGTGTACAGTTCATGGTACTTACTTACAAGTTAAGGAATTAAATCAAGGAGAGGAAAATTTAAGATTAATAATCAAAGGAAACTCCGTGACAATACAAGAGTGTCCCAGGGAAAGATCCGTCACTTGACACATTTCAAACAAGACAGGACAAAGAACTGGGAAATACAACGTAGGAACAATCCTGTATCTCACCCCAGAGAGGAGACCAAATGACTACTGGGTCTCTCCCATCGTTCATTTTAACCTGACCAAGACCCTTCTGAACCTCAAAACAGAATTTTTAAAAATACACAGAGCCATGTGCAATCTGTTCCCACATCTCTATTTTTAAGCACAGTTAGAAACTTACTTTTCACCAAAAGCCTTTCTCCAAAATTCTGCAGCATCTGCCTTGGTGATCCGGAACGTGTCACCCTGGAATAGGCCACTTGGGAAAATACCTTTGAGTTCTGCCAGCATATGGCTGAATATGAGGGATAACTTTGTCAGGTTACGCCTACAAAGGATCACAAAAACAAACGTTTCTTTTAGAAAAGACAGCCGTGGTTTAGCCATGCTGAACAAAACAGAAATGTTTTGCAATTCAAGAAGTATCCCAGCTTAGAAAACTCTCACTTGGGACCACCTATTCAAGTATTGACACAGCATTCAGAACGCATCCATCACATGGTACTTACCCGCAAGGTCTGTGTTTGTCAAGACATTTTCCACAATGACTAATGTTGCATAAGCTCTTTAAGGCAGGCAGGTTATTTCCAAGGCAAACCCCTTAAAGGAAATACATTCATGGAAAATGACTAAAGCCAATATTCAGACCTTATCTATTAACAGCATCATCACAGCCAAAACCTCGTCAGACTCCTTTGCTCTTGGGTCTGAAAATTCCTTATCAGAGCACAGGAAACTACTAGTGCCTTGGATCACGTAAGCCAAATGTCTTTCCAGGTCTCCAGAGGGTCCCAACACAGCAGATTTGCTCAGAGAATGTCTGAGATAATAAAAAGGCCCAGCTCCCAAGGGAAGATCAAAACACCTGTAGGCTTTTTCTAAAATGGTAATAACTTACATACAGAACCTTGATGGGCAGGGTGCTCAACCCTGTTGTTGTATGTAGTATGTATGTAGTATGTTGAGATGTTATCCAATCTGAATTACAAATTGGTACCCCAAGTCCATTCTCTGACTGATGACATTTATATATGAGGAGTGGTTTAGTGCATCAGGGTATGCCCTTTTCTTAACTGGAAAGTAGGAGAAGAGATATTCTCTGCTTCAGATTTAATAAATCTACAAAGGATTTCCAGAAATAAAGGACAGGAGGACTACTGCCTGTCAGAGCAGACACATTGGGAGCATTTTGGTTACACACTTCACAAGAAACTAGCACTGGATTGGCATCTAATTCCAGCAGCACAAACTGCAGCCCAGAACTGCTTCTTCCCTCCTTGTAGTCTTACCAACTACATTAAGCAACTACTATGTCGTAAGCATGCTATGCAGAAATACAGCTAGCTTGAGTTCTTCAAAGCATCAGTGTCTGTAGCTCTACAGGAATACCAAAATAACCATCTTACTACTTAGGAGCTAAACAATAGCACCATTACATACTAAAGAGGTTGTCATCTACTTGTAGATGGGAAAAAAAAATCTATTCACTAGTGGCACTTCTTTCTCTCATTCCTGTATCCAAATAAAGGATGACTCTCTTCTCCTCCACTCCATTACATTCTCCAGATGCCAGGAAAACGGAGCTCCTGAAAAGAGACAGGGATAGTTCTAGGCCAGAGGTTTTTTTTCACTCCCATGTCACATGCTTGAAGGTAAAAGGAACTATTGTCACGTGGGAAAGGACAACTTCCTAAGTTATGTCAAACAGACTCGGAGCTGGTCAGAAGACTGCATCAACCACCAAGCCATTGTACAGACTCAGTTGTTGTCAGACTGAGCAACAAGTTGTTTTGCAGACTGCAAAATACTGAACCATTCAGAGCGGGGCGAGAAGGATCCTCAGACACACAGTATTTTCTGAATGCCTTGTTTTCCAAGCTCTCTTACTAAGTATGCTAGTATTGTAGCGTGCCACGTCCCTGAAGATAGCTGTGTTTGGCAGCAGATGAAGCTCCCCTCAGTTTCAGTTTTTCACCAATATCTAGTATTCAGGTTGGATTGGTTCCAGTTTACTCAATCTTGGATATTTTTCAGATACTACTTGCTCCAGACATGCTATTCCTAGTTGAAGTACTTATCCTGTCAATCTGTCTGATTGCAGAACTGACCTCCAGCTAAAGGAGATGGGTAACTGCCTCCAGCCTTTCTGCAAAAATTTCCCTGGACATCTAGGCTTACGTCTTTTAGCTCCACGTCATACTTTCGTAGAGTCCAAACTCAATTTGAAGTGACCTACTTTGTTTGATATACATTCTACCCTTTATTCAGCTCCATATGAGCACGTTCTCCATGCTATGATACAGTCTGGGTAGACTAGAAGGTATACAGGACCCAAAACTATAAATCTTTTTTGACAGTAGTCTTCTCTTCTCTTCTCTTCTCTTCTCTTCTCTTCTCTTCTCTTCTCTTCTCTTCTCTTCTCTTCTCTTCTCTTCTCCTCCTCTCCTCTCCTCTCCTCTCCTCTCCTCTCCTCTCCTCTCCTCTCCTCTCCTCATTTATTCAACTACATTTTAATTTGTGTCTCAGCAATGAAAGCTGCTGAAAATGCTTATAGAAGGTGCCAGCTATACAGCAAGGGATTCTGTCTTTTATCATTTCATACATGTCTGATAACAACAGGTGCTCAAGATTAACGTCAGTAAAACCACCCAGATGCTCTTCTGTAGGCTACTCCATTCAGCAGCTCCCTACTGGATGCGTTACACATTCAAACTGCATGTATTTTAAAGCAGCTATATGACTTGGCTGTTTGATTCTATAAACACAGACTGAAAAGCTTTTTTGTTCAACATGCTTTGTCAGTTGACTGGCCTCCACAGAGAGGGGCTGTCAGAAAGTCCCCTTGCCTTATTAGTGTCTCACAATTTCCAGTCACCTTGCATCTGCACTTTTGGAACACTACTGTAATTCCTCACCTTCTGCTGTTAGGAAGGTTTATTCAGTGTATCTTAAAAAAAAAACCTATACAGGATCGGGTGTGTATCAGAACAGCAAAGTAATGGCTTCTCATGGGATCACAATCACATTTAAGATCAGTATTTCAGGACCAGGATGCATGGATACAGGAAGAAGCAGCAGCAGTACAAAGCCAGGCCGTTACCTTATCAGTAGTATCTGTTTGTGCATTTCCCCACCCCTGGTGTAATGTTAAGTAACTCAAAGTTGTGTATTCCTCTTTCCAGCAGTGGCTAAACAACTTTGCATTTACCAGGGGAAAGCTCAGATTCTAAGGCACATCTACTGGCTAACCCTACAGAGAAGATGATTTAACTGCAAACCCACACTCCAGCTCCCTCCCTCCCTTGGGAGGGCAGGTTCCCACCTCATCCCTGCAATGCCTTTGGCTTACAAACACTAGAAAAATTGCAAATCAGAGAGTGTAGCTGCAAAGCTTATTCCCCAAGCTGTCGCCTTAAAGTTCTCACTTCCCCAAAATTACAGAAAAGACGAGAGTTTATTGCATTGCAAGGGGAAAAATAAACCCAAAAAACCAAACAAACACCATGCCCTTATGAATCATTTAATCCATTTAAAACTCAAGCCAAAAAGAGGTAGTGTTTCTTTTTACTAAGTTCATAAAAATGGAGGCTCGAGCTAAAACTGCTCATTATTTTGTTACACTAACACGGAAGTAATTGGTAAGAATTAAATTCTGAATAATTTCCTTGAAGGCTGAGCATGCAATCTTTGTGTGCAGTCTCAGCAGGTTAAGCAGCATCTCACAGCAATGCATTCGTGTCCAGTGACTTCCACAAAGTTAGCAATCCTAAAGCTGTTTAGGTACACAGCACAAGCTAGCACTGGCGTGCTAGCCCTCATAATGTTTGAAAAAATCGTGTCTTACTTGTGAAAAAAATTCTAAGCATGCTTTAAACTACTGTATGCAATATCTGTTAGACAGAAGGAAAGACATTTCACATACACACCCTCCCAGTGCTGCCCAGCGGAGTGTGAAAATTTGGGTATGATCAGGCAAGTGCACTAATGCATTTCTGACCCTCAAACAAGAAGCTGAGTGAACAAGTGTGTGGTTTTAACAAAGCAAGAGTTAACACTGCAAGTATCCAAGGCATATCCATGTGTCCAACTGCTTATGACTTCTGCCTAAGAGCCCCCTCCCTCAGTGGAGCTTCAGGAAGGGCTTCAGCAAGAGAAGTAAGAACTTCTGCAGGCTTAAGGATGGATGAACAAATGATTTTACACACACACACCAAGGGACTTTGTTTCCAGAAAAGTTTCTAATACCTGAACATTTTCCATTCTTAAGGTTACCGTCATTTTTTGCAAATATTCACTTCTTTATTTTAACAAGCCAAGTTACACATTTGTAAATTAATACAGACCAAGTAAGTGCTTGCAATTACAGCAAACATTTCTTATTGGCATATCAAAGTTCAGTGATTATCACAGAATCATACAGATTATGGTCGTATTTTATTTTTAGTAACATCAGCAACTGCCCTCATCCCCATTGCTTCAACTAAACAGAAGCAAGTGTTCTCCCAGACCGGAGATTCCCAAACTTTTTTGTCCCCGAAGCTCCAGCAATCTTCCATGTTTCTCATAGACTATGATGGCCCTCTTTCAAACTTTTAGCTAAACACTGTAATGAAGGTTAGTAGGTACTGTACTGTGGTTAGTAGGTCGAGAGAGGTTCTCCTCCCCCTCTACTCTGCCCTGGTGAGGCCACATCTGGAATATTGTGTCCAGTTCTGGGTTCCCCACAGTTCAGGAAGGACAGGGAACTGCTGGAGAGAGTCCAGCACAGAGCCACCAAGATGATGAAGGGAGTGGAGCATCTCCCTGATGAGGAAAGGCTGAGGGAGCTGGGGCTCTTTAGCTTGGAGAAGAGGAGACTGAGGGGTGACCTCATTAATGTTTATAAATATGTTAAGGGCAAATGTCATGAGGATGGAGCCAGGCTCTTCTCAGTGATGCCCAATGGTAGGACAAGGGGCAATGGGTGTGAGCTGGAACACAGGAGGTTCTGCTTCAACTTGAGAAGAAACTTCTTTCCAGTGAGGGTGACAGAGCCCTGGGACAGGCTGCCCAGGGAGGGTGTGGAGTCTCCTTCTCTGGAGACATTCAAGACCCGCCTGGACGCCTTCCTGTGTGATCTCATTTAGGTTCCTGCTCTGGCAGGGGGGTTGGACTGGATGATCTTTTGAGGTCCCTTCCAATCCCCAACATTCTGTGATTCTGTGAACACAAATACTGTTACCAAGAGTTGCACCAAAGGTATGCCAACCACAGTTTGGGAATCACCGACTTCAGCCTCTAAATCCCATTGACAGTCAGTGGAATTTAAACACCTGTCGTATGAGCACT